TTGTCAGCAGGTAAGGGGCGTTTACCTTCAGGACAAATTGAGGTCATCGATTGGTCAGTTACTGACACGCCTACTGGATTGATTGACAGGTTGCGGTGTGGAGGATCCGACTCGGTAAAAAAAAAAAAAAAAAACTTGAGCTGCAGCAGCGGCGCTGGGAAGAGGCGGGGCAGCCCAAGTCCAGCGGCAGCGCAGCAATCTCTCTGCAGCACAGGACTCCAGGAGATGACCAGATATTTTGCTTTTGCTCACACTGCTCTGGGCCCCTTAAGCCCCTTATCCATGGGGCCCTTTGGTACTCCTATGTAACTAGTTGTGGCTGATTGCGTGTTTTATCAACAATACCTTTAGCGGTGGAACCCACCCCATTTTTGGGACCTAATTCTCTGAGGTCCCAGGTCTGGTTCTTGTAAGGTCTAGATGTGACATCAGCGCACTGTAAGTCACTGATTGGTCAGGGGGCGTATTCATTGGTGGAGGGCGGAGATTCAGTCTTCCACCGGAAATCACAATCCGCCATTTTCTTTTTCACCCGCATAACAGACAACAAGTAATCGGAGGAGCTTATTTTGGAATATTTTATAAGGTAAAACAAATAATCATGGCACAACCGTGGTCGAATGCTGAAGTTCAGGCATTTCTCTATTTGCTGGCCGATGAACAAGTGCAGAGCGAGCTAGATGGAACGAAACAAAATGAAAAGATTTTTCAAGAGGTGTCTGCGCAGATGGCGGTGCAGGGCTTCCATCGCACACCAAAGCAAAGAGGAAAGCTTAAAAAACTAAAAAGCGATTACAAAACGATTAAGGACCACAACGGTAGGAGTGGAGCAAACAGAAGAAACTGGAAATGGTTTGAACAAATGGATGCCATTTACAGCAAACGCCCAGCCAACAAAGGGAGGGAGAGTGGCCTAGACACGGCCACTGCTCTTCTGGAAGCTATAGTTGATGGTGAGTGTATTTTATTTACTTTAAGCATATTTCCTTTTCCTCATGCAACCATTTCTTTGCGTTTTCTGAAAGTACTCTGAACAAACGAGGCTGACACGGTTACGTCGTCATTAGTTAGCATCATTGCTAACTGTACTCTGTTGCTGTTTTTCCACTCTTATTTTGATGCAGAAAGTCCCACTGAAGATGAAGGTTCGCCAGATTCTGCTTTTGACTGTCCAATCCTCCCCGCTTCTGACCCTTCCCAACCACACCAGCTCCAAGTACATCCACGCCACCGAGTACATGCACGCCACCGGGCACATACACGCCACCGGGCACATACACGCCACCGGGCACATACACGCCACCGGGCACATACACGCCACCGGGCAACACGCAGCAGAGCGGCACCAAACAGCACCCATTACTAGGTAAGAAGCAACAATCGTGTTTAACATCACATTGATCATGTTGATATGAATGTTGTTTTGTTTTTGTTGTAAAACACCTTGCATGTACTACTTGTTTATTCAGCTGTAATGTATAAATGTTAAATTTAATTTTCATTTATTACTTAAACTTTCATTTATGAAGTTTATTACTGAAATTATACAGGGTGTAGTGATTTTTGTTCAGATTAACGATGCTCTGTTCTTTTTCTAAATTAGCACAAACCGTTGTAAATGACTACTGTAGTTTATTTATGCCCACCTGCTTACTATCATTAAAGTACTAGACTGCTTTATGAACAGAATCATTTCTGATCTTGTGAACAAACACCTTTTGAAATTAGCAGGAACTTTAATGTAAATAATTTATTTAAAAATTCTACCTGTACTTCATCATCTAACAGCCATTTTCTTGTGTGTTATTCCTAGGCAATAGAAAGCGCAGATCAACAAGTGCAGCAGAGAGCTTTGTTTCTGCACATACAGAACAAGAGGAGATGAACCGGAAGCAGAGAGAGGAACACTTCCATTTTATTTGTGAGGATGCCAAAAAAGCAAGGCAAGAAGAAGCTGCGAAGAGGCAACGCCAAACTGCAGCAGCGAGGAAGCAGGAGAAAGCAATTAGGAGGGAGGAGATGGCCTTGAGGAGAGAGGAAGCAGATCTTTGCAGAGAGGAAGCAGCACAGCGAAGGCAGGAGGCTGAACAGAGTGCTGCTTTCAATCAGGCACTCCTTGGGGTGCTGGAATCCATTGCCAGTTCCATGGCAAACAGACATGTTTAAAAATATTTAGAGTAGATCATAGTTGATATATAGAAATGTAGATCCTGCAAGGTAAGCCCACAAATAGCCAAACATGTAGCTTGTTAAGTTTGCATATCTAATTAGTGTATAATTGTTTTTTTTTGTACAGGTCTTTATTTCTAATAAAAGAAACATTTTCAAGTCTTGAGCTTCCATCTGATCATCAAAAGTGAAGTGCTTACAGTGTTTTTTTACGTCAATAGTGTAGGATAAGTGAAGTAATTGTTTTTTACATGTAACAATGCTGGTGAAGATTCTCAGTTATCCTTGACACGGCAAATCCCCCCCAAAAAAGATAAAAACAAAACCACAGGACTTTTTTTAAAAACTGAAGACGCTTCGCTAATCATCCGAGGAGCACTCACAATTCAATGAAAAAAGGAATATGGGATTAAAGTTATAAAACTGGTGTTCTGTAAGCTTGCTGGAGATTGATCTGCATGTGTCAGTCTCCATAATACAAGCTTACGGCACACCACAGCTTTATAACTTGAATCACACTCCTCGTTTCATTAAATTGAGAAAGAGCCTCGGATGAGAAGTGATACATCTTCAGTTACAAATAAAGTCCAGTTTTTTTATTTATGTATTTTTTCGGTTTTATCTGTAATGAGTACTGAAAAACGTAACCATAATACAGAATGTCCATGTGTTGTAAATGAACATTGCAGTGGAGTTAAAAAGGTGTAGGAATTGTGTAATCTACGTTTACAATCATCCTCATTCAGGAGGTTTTCAGTCATTGCATGTCAAACACCTCAGCCATGATGTCCATCTTGTGGATCCAGCAGCTTCTGCATCTTTTTCGTCCAAGGTCAAAAATTCTCTCCACGACTTTCACTGTGGTACAAAGGAGCACTAACTTAATATTACTAAACAGCACTTCAATCATGAAGATAATTTGCGACAGCTTAATTTAAAGAGCTCCGTGGTAAGCACAAGCTCTGAAAGAGTTGTTAAATATCAAATCAAATGTAGGTTATTATGTAATGTACG